GGTGAATGGGTTTGATTGCCAGGATAGGTAGGAATGAGGTGAATTGTCTGGGAGCAATAAGGTGCCTTATTTTAATGTAGATAACTTTTTTAATCTAACTGTGTGAATTGTTCAAGGGGCGCTGTTTAGCCTCATGTTTGCAAGGTGTTCCTCTAGGTTTTAGGGGACACTAGGGAATTAATTGAAATCAAGATTTAATTGTTTGATTCATACTAGGGGACAATATTCTGTGGATAGCTCAGACTGCTGCTTGCATGACACCTGCCTAGCTGCGTACTTGGCTGCATTTTATGAGGTTCAGTGCCAGCTGGAGGGGGTAAATCTGGCCATGGGCACAGAGTTTGGTTCTGCTCTGTTGTATACTGCATTTTGGTGAACTAAATCCAGATGACTGCCTTGGTTGGAGAGGTCTGTGATAAGCAGTCATTTTGCCTGGTTCATGTCAATGCCTAAACAGAAGAAGATGCACGCCCACTCTGCCATACACATTCTTTTCTTGGCAGAGCTGTGTTCTCCCCATTGGGCAGCAGGGACTTCACCTTCCATTGAAATGTCTTTGCTCTCTCCAGCCTTGATCTATTTGCAGAAAGCAGTTGTTTTGAAACCTGGCTTATCTTTCTAGTATGGCAAACTGCCTACTTGCTCTGAACAGCTAAACTGAGGGGAGATCTAATTCTCACTGAAAATAGCAGTGAACATCTTTGAGACACTTAAAATTTTGTTCCAAAGCTTTTAAGCCTAGAAGGTTAACAATAAAACTGAAAATAGCATGGGAGCAGAACAGAGCATCATGGAGATGAGCTTATGTTTATAAAGCAGAGCAGAATTCCAGCAAGCCTGAGCTGTTGATATGACAGATAAAAGCACTTTCAGTGCTTACGTTTGTACTTAAACCTGTAACAGTTTAAAGGTTTTGAAGTAGCTAATTCCCTATCATATCTTTTCACTTATGGCTGGCTGTGTCTCATATCAAGCTGCCCAGGGCATTAATCCAATAATTTAAGAGGGTGAGCTTTTCTGTATCTGCCCTGCTGAGGGAAAGTGCCTATATTGTCTTGTGCATGAAGAGGCTTTTCCTTTTTAAAAATGAGGGCATAATTGTGCTTGCTGACTGTAGGGCAAGGTGCCACTCTGCAGTTCTAGATCAGGCTGGTGCCAGGAACAGTGGAGCCAGCTCTGAGCGGGAATCGTGTCCTTGCCCTAATAAGGAGCCATGTTGCACTTAAATCTTGGCATATGGTGCTCAGTATCTGACCTGCTCTCACTCTAATCAACCCCTTTGTTCCAATCTTTTTTCTTCTCTTCCCCTTTCTGCTCTTTATTCTGGCCATCGTCCTTCATCTAGTGTTAATAGTCTGCTTGGGAAAAGTCATGACTAATGCAAGTAATGAGCAGTGCTTGTGTTCAGGAAAGGCTGCTTTCTCTTTGGAGCAGGCAGTGAGATGGTATCCTAGCTCATGGGCTTCAGAAGTCCCTGTTGTCTTTTATTTGTGGCAATTCCCTTTCTGGTGCAGCAGCCTTGAGAGAGATACGATGATGCTTACATTGGCAAAAGGCAAAAAATCATAGTGAACGAGGCATTATTGTGCTTGTGAAGAGCACAGAATTGTATTCTCTTACTTGAGCCTTTTGTGCTTCAAAGCAGTCTGCACCAATACTCCTGCAGTCTGGCAGTCTGCTTTGTTTTGGTTCTTGCTTCCTCTGCAGTGTTCTCACACGTACTGTACAGCTCTCAGGAAATCTCTTCCTCTCTTCCTTCTGCCAATGTTTTGTTCCTTTATCCTAATCAAAGTTCCAACAGCTGAATTTGCCTGTAGACTTCCAAGTGTGCTTTAGCCAGTGCCTTGTTGACAGCCTTTGTCCATACGCCACAGACCTTGGGGATGCCAGGTAGTTCATCTGGTACTTTTCTGCAGAACACCACATGATTTGGTTCTGTCTCAGCAGCCCGATGGTCTTTATCCCAGCCTGAGCAAATGACTTACACTGAAACTTTTTCCAAATTACTGCTTCTGGACAGCATTAATGTGCCTTTCCCAGGGAGGGGAAGATGCCTGTCAGAGGCACCTAGTGCTAGTGGTACTTACTTAACTTGCAGGAAGTCTGTTATCTTACCAGCTGATAATGTGATTGGACTTTATTTAAATGGCAGTTGTTTAACAAACCATCTTCTGTCTGTCAGTGCGGTACATCTGAGGTCCCTGAATAGTTTGAAATAGCTATACTGCTGCCTAGTATTTTGCATTGGGATGTGACTTTTAAAGAACCTCAGGCATTTTCCTCTCCACAGTTGAAAAAAGGAGGAAAGGAAAGGAAAAGTAATCTTGGCTCTTCTAATGGCATACCCTGGACCAGTAGTAAAAACCTGTAGGGAAGCTGGTGAATTGATCCCTAACCCAGAGCACACATGAGCCTTCCCTGTCACCTTCTAGCTGAAGCCTTGCTGCTTATGTCCAGTAACCTTATTTTTAAACCAGATCTGATTCATGCTGTATTTTCTATGCCAGATGAGGTCCTTGGTTGTAAGTGTTGTGACTGTAGCTGGCAGGAGCCCTGCATGATTGCCTCACTTCAGGAAATGTTAAAATAACACTTTTTTTCTTAGAAAGCTAGTTCACTCCCCTCCCACTTCTAATTCTCCTAATAGCTGCCCCCAGTTTGGCAGCTGTCTTAGAGGGCTGTTTGTGTTGCTGAGTGAGAGCAGAGACACTTCAGTGGATGCAGTGCTGGAGGAGAGGTACACAAAGCGAGCTAGTATCTCTAGCCAAGCTGGCTTGAACTTTTTCGAGGTTTCTCTGCAATTTGGAAGGAAAACTGCTAAACTGTTAGAAGAATCTTGCTCTTCCCCCTGGGCTCTGCATCTGAAGCTGGGGATTTTTTTCCTCTTGGAGAAGAGAAGCTGCCCCAACTGAAGCTGCTCACTTGAGACAAACCGTACAGCAGGCTGATCTGCTCTCTTGACTAGAGTGAGGGCAATAGTACTGATAGCTGCTGGAATATCCCCTGAGGCTGGACCCAGCGGGTTTTGGACTTGCAATCAGGTCTCCAAGATACTTAGCAAAATCTTTAGTGGGGTTGAAGTGAATTATCTTCTCAAACCTGCATCAATGGCTGCTAGCTGCTTTGCCAGCTGATCTGTGGAAGGTTTGTAACTCTCCAGATGGAGAAGCTTTCATTTTTATTGCCTGGCTCCTACTTTTTGATCACTGCTATGGGGAGATGGGTTGTGTTCAATACTTTATTTCTCTTTTGGAACTGTTTGTGCTGAAGGAACAAAATTATTTATGGCTGGATAACAATAGGCAATACTTGTGTGTGTCTCTGTAGTACATAGTCTTTAGAGGGATGCTTACATCCTAGAGATTCCCCAAGAACTTTAATTGACAACTGCCAGCCAAAAATGGAAGGCTGGGGTTTGGTTTTCTTCATCTAATGTCTGTCAGATCTGGGAGCACTGCAAAGGAAGCACTGGAGTACCAGCTTGGAGAACAGAGTTCTGATCTAGTGTTAAGTGAATAAGCTGGTTTGGACCCTGGAAAAATAATGCAGGTACTAGGCCTGTTTGTAGTGCCCGTTCTACTTGCTAGTCTGTGATCTTCTTCTTGAGCTAGAACACAAATGCATCCCTCCTGAAATGCAGCCTGCTT